TGACTGCACTTCGTGACGCTGCAATAGGAGCTGCCATTTGTCCAGCCTCTCCTCTGTGCCTGGCAATGTGTTTAGGTTTTCCCTAACCCTCACAGCCACTGTGGGAAGTCGTACAGGGTGACTGGCCCCTTATTACCCCTGGAATAGTCACATCTCTTGGCTGTCCTCTGAAGCAGGAATGGAGGCGTGGCTGTTCCAGGCCCAGCAGGAATCTCAGGCAAGGCGGCAGAGTACTTACTGCGTAGGCGGGATTCTTCACCTCCACGGGGAGATGTGCTGTCTTTTGTTTTGTTTTGTTTTGTTTTGTTTTTGTTTTTTTGAGACAGAGTCTCACTCTGTTGCCCGGGCTAGAGTGCCGTGGCATCAGCCTAGCTCACAGCAACCTCAAACTCCTGGGCTCAAGCAATCCTGCTGCCTCACCTTCCGAGTAGCTGGGACTACAGGCATGCACCACCATGCCCAGCTAATTTTTCTTTATATTTTTAGTTGGCCAATTAATTTTTCTATTTATAGTAGAGACGGGGTCTTGTCTTGCTCAGGCTGGTCTCGAACTCCTGAACTCAAGTGATCCGCCCACCTCGGCCTCCCAGAGTGCTAAGATTACAGATGTGAGCCGCGCACCTGGCTCATTTTTTATTTTTCAGCCTTCAGTAAAGAATGTAAGAAAGTGTATATTGTCTGCTATGAAGAAAGTTGTGCAGGGGAGGGGTGACCAGCTGACACTTGGCGTTGGCACTGGGGAAACGAATTGCTAGGGAAGGGACCTTAGTGAGCCAGAACAACAGGCCAAGGCCACCACTGGTGGGCTCCCCTAAGCTGTGGGTGTATAGGAAACTGGGCCCACTGTTACATAGCTTCTGATTGTTTTCTCCAGGGAAAATAGAAATTAAGATTTATGTGAAAAGTCCGATTTTTACATGTCAGTTTAAATTCTCTTAAAACATCGTATGAGGCCAGGCGTGGTTTCTCATGCCTGTAATCTAGCACTCTGGAAGGCCTGAGAGTGGGAAGTGATTTGCTCAAGGTCAGGAGTTCGAAACCAGCCTGAGCAAGAGCAAGACCCTGTCTCTACTAAAAATAGAAAGAAATTAATTGGCCAACTAAAAATATATAGAGAAAAAATTAGCCAGGCATGGTGGTGCATACCTGTAGTCCCAGCTACTCGGGAGGCTAAGGCAGGAGGATGGCTTGAGCCCAGGAGCTACAGGTTGCTGTGAGCTAGGCTGACGCCATGGCACTCTAGCCCAGATAACAGAGTGAGACTCTGTCTCAAAAAAAAAAAAGAAAGAAAACAAAAAAACATCATATGAGCTAACAGAACGTGCCTGGGGACAGATGTGGCCCCAGGGTCCTCTACTTTCCCACTTCCCTCTCTATCACATGTGACCATCCTCTTTGAGAGGTTCCCTGGCAAAAAGCGGTAGAAAGGCTCCCAGAAGTATGTGAACTTCCTGCAAAATAGCACCAACAGGTCATGAAAGTACACTTTTTTTCCTGAGGATGTTGGTCCCTAACTTTCATCAGACTGTTAAATCTGAGCATTTCTTGGGCCAGGCCCTGGGGCTACAGTGATGATGAAAATCACCACGGGCCCCGCTCTCAGGAAGGGCACAGCATGGCATGAGGACAGCCAGGCATCAGAGGATTCCACCACTGAGCGTATGGTGACAAATGGAGATGGCACTGAGGAGGAAAGGAGCAGAGTCTGTTAGAGTACATGAGTGTGGGGCGTGAGAAGACAGTTGACAGGGTCCAGAACTGGCCAGAAGGCGCTCGGGAACTCTCCCCCGCAGGAGTGACTTGTCACATGAGGGTCATTTCATAGGAGTAAGTTGGGTGGACAGGCAGCGTGAGAGGCCAAGTGTTCTAGCCAGAAGCCCTGGCATGTGCAAAAGGCCCTGAAGCCAGTGTGGCCAGATGACAGAGTGATGTGGGCTCGGCTCAGGCCGAGGCTGCACAGGGCATATGTTCACAGGCCTGAAATGTCCATATAGACCAGGCATCCTCAAACTATGGCCTGCAGGCCACGTACAGACCGCCTAGCACATTTATCCGGCCCTCTGGGTGTTTTTGCCACCACTGCTTGTCCTGCTTAGCAGCTGACTCGTCCGTGCCCACAGTGCACACTCTCCAATGGTCTGAGGGACAGTGAACTGGCCCCTGTTTAAAAAGTTTGAGGACCCCTGATATAGACGGTCCCTGACTTACGATGATTTGACTTGTGATTTTTCACCTTGACAGTGATGCAAAAGTAGGATTTTGAATTTTGATGTGTGCCTGGGCTAGTGATAGGCAGTACAGTACTCTCTTGCAGTGCTGGCCCATGAGCTGCAGCTCCTAGTGAGCCACTCAGTTGTCGTTATAAGGGCGGACAGCCCGTGGTGTCTGTTTGCCAGATGATTTTGCCCAACTGTGGGTTAATGTAAGTGTTTCAGGCACATCCAAGGTAGGCTAGGCTAAGTAGAATGTTCATTAGGTTAGGTGTGTTAAACACGTTTTCAGTTTAAACTATATTTTCAACTTAACAACAGGTTTATTGGGACATAAGGTCCTCATAAGTCAAGGAGCATCTATCCGGTTTTGGTAGCTCACACCTGTAATCCTAGCACTCCAAGAGGCAGAGGTAGAAGGACTGCTTGAGCTCAGGAATTTGAGACCGGCCTGAGCAAGAGTAACACCCTGTCTTTACTAAAAATAGAAAAAATTATCCAGGTGTGGTGGCATGTGCCTGTAGTTCCAGCTACTTGGTAGACTGAGGCAGGATTGCTTGAGCTCAAGAATTTGAGGTTATATTGAGTTATGATGATGCCACTGCCCTCTAGCCTGGCATGACAGAGCAAGACTCTGTCTCAATTAAAAAAAGGAACATCTGTGTTCTAAAAGCAGTGGGAAGCTGTGGAATCATTTTCAACTGGAGTGACAGGATCAGAGTCCTGTTTGTGAAGATCATTCTGGGTGCTATGTGAGGACTCAGTTCCTAGGAGACTGTTTAGGGACCTGGTGACCTGGGAGCACAGGACCCAGCAATGGCAAACCTAGATGACAAGTGAGGGAAAGAGTGTCACAGCTGACCAGGCCTCTGCTTTTGTGACTGTGGCAGCTGGTGGCACTGCAGCAGCAGGGCCAGGCTTGAGAGGAACTATGAGTATGATTGGACATGTTGAGGGCAGGTGCCTTGGAGACAGCAGATAGAAATGTTCAGTTGGCTAAAGGAAACCCTGGGTGCTCAGGACAGGTGCCTCGTTAGTGAACAGGGCAGGCAGGGGGCTGGGGCTTAGGGCAGAGAGAGATTCCGTAGCCTGGGAGTTTTCTCCTGCAGATGATGGTTCAGGTGAGAGGTACAGGGGAAGGTGCCTGGTGGATCCTCAGGTTTTCTCTCTCCACAGGAAATGGGCAAGAAACTCCCTGCACTAGCCCAGTGCTGACCTGACAGCCCCACTTCTTATCCTTTATCTCCTGTGACCCATTTTTTTTTTCCAGGAACAAGTACCTGCTCCTCAACAACCAGGAGCTGAACGAACTCAGCGCCATCTCTCTCAAGGCCAACATCCCCGAGGTGGAAGCCGTCCTCAACACCGACAGGTGAGTGTGATGGGCTGCAGCTGTGGCCCGCAGCCCACCCTGGCCACCCGGTGCCTGGGGCTCCTAGATGGGTGCACGCAGTTGTGTGTGCTTGTCCTTTCTCACTCACATGTACCTATAATGTCCTGAGGGCTCGTGTGCCAGGCACTGTGCTCACATCACCTACATTTTCTTGTTGAGTGTCATAGCAGCCCTGGGAGGGAAGTGCCATCATCACCTCCACTTGACTGAAGAGGCAGCAGAGGCTCAGAGAGGTCACCTGCCAAAGGTCGTCTGTGCTCTGCCCCCCTCTACTTGTCACCTGCACGCAGCACTTTTACCGGTGTGCTCCTTTCTTGCCTGGTGGCAGCTATAGCCAAGCAAGGCAGGCATGTAAGCCCCTCACCCTGTGCCAAGAGTTAAGTACAATTGCTGGGCTGTTTGCCTCATCTTCTGGAGCAGGACAATGAAGTGACAGGCTCATGGGAGTCAGAATAGGGTGGACTTTATCCAGCAACAGAGGTTGTACTTTCCCAACCTTTTTTTTTTTTTTTTTTTTTTTCGAATGAAAGTATACATGGGCCGGGCGCGGTGGCTCACGCCTGTAATCCTAGCACTCTGGGAGGCCGAGGCGGGCGGATTGCTCAAGGTCAGGAGTTCAAAACCAGCCTGAGCGAGACCCCGTCTCTACCATAAAAATAGAAAGAAATTAATTGGCCAACTAATATATATAATATAAAAATCAGCCGGGCATGGTGGCTCGTGCCTGTAGTCCCAGCTACTCGGGAGGCTGAGGCAGCAGGATCGCTTGAGCCCAGGAGTTTGAGGTTGCTGTGAGCTAGGCTGACGCCATGGCACTCACTCTAGCCTAGGCAAGAAAGCGAGACTCTGTCTCAAAAAAAAAAAAAAAAAAGAAAGTATACATGGTCCTGCCTTGATGTCTGTAGTGGATAAAAGTAGAGCTGCTCTGTTGGAGCAGGGGGTTTAAGGGCCCAGAGCCCTGTCTGCTTAGCTGTCTTCTTTTCCCCTGGTGGGGCCTGAGTCATTTCCTCATCTGCTGCCTTTGCTTCACAGGCCGGGAAGCTAAGCCCTGGAGGCTCGGGTACTTGCCCAAGGCCCAGCTGGAACTGAACCTCAGGCAGGGAGTACCCTGGGCCCCACCCTGCTGGCACAAACTTCCCCCTCTGGCAGCCTGTCATGACTCGTTTCAAACCCACTTTTGGTGTAAACAGCCTCCCCTAGCAGTCCTGAGCCCTGTCTGCGCTGGGTGTGTTTCTGGCCTGAGAGGCAGCGGGAGTGCACTGGCCTGTTCGGTTCTGTGTCGGCAGGGTCCGGGGGTCTGGACCCAGGTGGAGTGGGAAGGCATCTTGCACACTTGGAAATGTCCCCATGGTTTTTCACCCACCTAAGCCAGCTGAGTGACCCAGCCCCAAGGCTCCTGTCGGCCTCTCAGATCTGTCCCTGTCTTTTTATTTTAGGAGTTTGGTGTGTGATGGGAAGAGAGGCTTATTAACCCGGCTGCTACAGGTGATGAAGAAGGAGCCAGCTGAGTCATCTTTCAGGTGGGTCTAGGGACAGGTACCTGCCACTTCTGAGGAGCTAAGTGTTTCTCAAGTGGTTAAAAATACCTCCTTTAGTCACCAGTGTCCACCTGTGAGGTACGGTCACTACCAGAGAGAGGTGGTTTGACTGCCGCCTCTCCCTTGTGTTGACTCGGCAGGTACGTGTGAGCTGCTGCTGGGTGCCAGCGACCCGGCGTTCCCCAGCGCCCGTTCTGTGCGGGCACCAGTGGGTGGAGGAGACTTGGGATACGGGACCTGCCCACGTGGAATTCCCTGGGGTTGTGGGAAACACGCATGGACAGAAACCTGTCTCAGTGCCTTGTGGAAAGGAATGGAGCCCCGGGAGCTGTGGGAGCAAAGGAAAGCCCTTCCCCTGTTGGGGGCTGACGGGATAGGCGTGGACGGGGAGGCCTTCTCAGAGTTCCTCAGACTCACCTGGGATAAGTTTTGAAGGCTGTGGTCAGGAGGAATTCTACCAGCCCCAGGTGGGAGCTGGCAGGAGGCTCCATGCCACAGGAGCCCTTGTTGCTTCCACCCTTGGGCCAGTCAATATCAGCCACCTCTTCTCTAGGCTGTCCTATCGCATGTGAGCTCAGTGGCCTGTGTACGCATATGTCAGCCTCTTTCACAAGTTCCTAGTCCCTCAGTTCCATGAGGAATTCTTCTGAAAGGGCACAGCTTAGAGTGTTTTCACATGAGACCCTCTGGAGCCAGCCCTTTGACCCTAGATGCCACCTCCTCTGCCACATATTCCCTTCCAGACAAAGCCAAACAGGTGCCTATTCCCCATTGAGCTGTCAACGCCATGAGGATGGGGATTGTCTTGCTCACTGCTCTGTCCCCAAGGCCTAGGATGAGGCCTGATGCTTGGCAGAGATACAGGAAATGTCTGTGGAATAAATGAAAAGGCAGCAAACATCTCCCAACCCCTTGGGGAATTGAACGTGGGCCAGAAAAGCTGGCAGCCTTAGCCACCTGGGCCAGGCGTCGACATTTGGGTTGTAGGTTTTGGCAAGCCCGGGCTGTGGAGAGTTTTCTCCGAGGGACCACCTCCTATGCAGACCAGATGTTCCTGCTGAAGCGAGGCCTTCTGGAGGTACGGCCTGGAGGAGCCAAGGTGTTGGGTGTCCATCTGCCCGCAGCCCCATGCGCTGCTGTCCTGAGCCCTGAGCAATCAGGAGCAGACCACAGCTTGAGATGTTTCGGTGCCAGTGCAGATTGCCCTATGTTGGCCCTGCATGTTCTAACTGTGGGTTCCCCATGTGCTTAAGGGGTGACTGGGGGGCTTAGCAAATGGCTCTGGGGAGAGGGGGGCGATAAGAGTCTAGAGTTACCCAGCAAGGCCTTTTGACCCTGAGGATATACTGACTAAAAGTAAATTTTCCTTTATTGAATAATGCCCTTCTGAAAAAGAAAAATTTATAAAAGTGGGGAGCAAAATGGCCAAAATATTCATTGATTTTTTTTTAAAAAAAATTTAATATGGACAAGAAACTAACTCATGAATCATTATAAAATCTGTATGGGAAAGAATTGGTCCAAATCAATGTAACTTCAAGAAAATGAAAATTATTGGACACAGTTTAACTGTTGCCCTTAAACTCTGTCCTTCCTGTACTCAAATGGCTTCAGTGCATGGGCAGTGGCCACTGTTAGGCCTAGAGATCCTCAGGCATCTTAGTGACCACAGAGCAGGTCAGAGGCTTCAGCTCTGAGCCCTGAGCAAGTAAGAGAGATTGTGCTGTGCACCCGGCCTGCTTCCCTTCCTGGCGAGGTTAGTCTGGCCTGGCCCTGTCCTTAGAGCCACCCGTATCCTCAGACAGAATCTAGAGAGGGCTGTAGGTTCAAATATGTGGTCCGACTCCGTGCCAGGCCCTGGTGGGAGGCCGGTGGGGAGCAGCCACATTCACACCTTCAACCTGTCCCCTCCTCACCCACAGCACATCCTGTACTGCATTGTGGACAGTGAGTGCAAGTCAAGGGATGTGCTTCAGAGTTACTTCGACCTCCTAGGGGAGCTGATGAAGTTCAATGTTGATGCATTCAAGAGATTCAATAAATATATCAACACTGATGCAAAGGTAAAGTTAACTGGGCTGCATGGAGTGTGCTGGATTGTCTAAAAGTTACCATAGAGCCCTGGTCTGCCAGGCTTGAAGTGCAGGTTTTAAATTAGAGAATAATGGGCAGTCAGCAAACATTCATTAGCACCTACTATGTGCCGGGCACTGTACTAGACCCTAGGAATACAGGGATGAACACCGGAGCTGCTCGTGAGCAGGGAGTGAGGCTGGGTGGGACGTGCAGCTGCCACGATGCAGTGCAGTGGGTGCCATGGCGCGGCCCCTGTAGGGAGGGACTGGGCCTGGCATTTTAGGCTCTGAGGGGTGTACATGACAGAAACCTAACTCAGACTAGTTGAAGTAAAAATTAGAGGAGTCCAGCACCCTTCCAAGTAAAACCACTGGACAGAGAGTGAGAAGGTCTGGGCTGAGCTCCACATGGCTTTGCTTGGTAGCTGGGCAGTGAGAGCCATTCCCCCAGCCTGAGTCTCTGTCTTCCTATAGTGAAGCAGCAGGGCTGGGGCAGATCATCAGCCCCTTAGAGTGACTGTCTGCCCTGGGCCACAGCTGTCTCAGGCCTGCAGCCCACACCCCCGTGAGCTCACTCTCTGCTGCAGTTCCAGGTGTTCCTGAAGCAGATTAACAGCTCCCTGGTGGACTCGAACATGCTGGTGCGCTGTGTCACTCTGTCGCTAGACCGATTTGAAAACCAAGTGGACATGAAAGGTAAGGAAGGAAAAGGCTGCCACGGTGAGTCAGTGCAGTGCGCCAGCGCTGGCGTCGGAACCCCAGCTCCAGCAAGGAGATGAGAAATACTAAGGAGCTACGCCCGACGGCCGCGTGGCTGGCTCCAAGGTGGCGGCTCTGCGGGAGATTTACTTTGCTGCTTTGACTTCTCTCTACTGGACATGCTTCCTTTAGTGAGAATGTTCATTTTAATAAAGTAAAAACACTGTTGTTGTTGCCTGCAAAAGACAAAAACCAGAAAAGCACCTTCCTCTTCTGGGCTGGGATTGCCGGGACAAATCAGACCTGTCTCCTGCGCGCTGTGTTGGCGTGCAGCGTGGCGCTAGGGGTGGCTGAGCTCCCTGGAATGCTCTCACCTGTCTGTGTCTATATGTACCTGTGTGCTCTTGGCCTTGGAGAGGGTCTGTGGCATCCAGCAGATTCTCACAGGGTCCGTGCCCCCCCCCATAATGTTAGACACCTGTCCCTTGTCACAGTGTCATTGATAGAAGTATCCTGGTCATTCAGTAATGTAGCCACTTGCCTCCTTTTTCTGCCCCAGAGGGTCTGTTTCAGGGGAACAGCCACACAGATTTGGTACCTGCAGCTGTTGCCCCACCTCCCAGTAGTGTTGAAAGCGCTTTGCCCGGATACTAGTGGAAGGAGCGGAGCCAGTGCCACTGTGACCCTGATAGTGGCCTGACTGGCCCAAGAGCTGGTGTGGGGAAGCAGTCTCGTTAAGGGCTCTGGAAGACAATTCGAACTCTTTCATTGTTTTTCTTAATTTAGTGTCATCAATCCATCTTCCTGTCAAGGCAACTCTGCCATGTGTGATAGAGAGCCAGGCCCGCAGCCTGGCAGGTGGGGCTGAGGGAGATTTGCCCCAGCACAGTTCTGGGCGAGGGGAGCTCCCGGGCAGCTCTGAGGAGAACAGGGGCTTGGCCTATAGCAGAACAGCTGGAGGTGGTCCGTTCCTGCTGCAGCCAGCTGCTGTTGTAGTTGTTCGACAGTGAGGGGCTCCCAGCTCCTGAGTGTGGGGGGCGGGGGAGTTGCTCAACTGGAGGTGGGGGCGGCCTGGCCACTGGACCTGGGCCTGCGGTGCTCCCCTCCCCTCCCTCCGCAGTGGCCGAGGTCCTGTCCGAGTGCCGCCTGCTCGCCTACATATCCCAGGTGCCCACGCAGATGTCCTTCCTCTTCCGCCTCATCAACATCATCCACGTGCAGACCCTGACCCAGGTGAGAGGCCCTGGCAGATGGGCAACAGGGAAGGTAGATGGGAAGCCGTTTTCCCCCTCCGGGAGCCCAGCAGGCTTGTGTCCCCCCCCCCCCCCCACCCTGGAAGTGCCTCTCCTTAGACCCAGCTCTTCTGAGGACTTTGCCATGGGGAGTCAGATGGGGCCGAGGTCCCATCTGCGAGTCTCCTCAGGTCACAGACTCCGTCAGGGCAGTCGAGATTGTGCTGCGTTCTGCTGGCTCCTGGTCCAGTGCTCTTCCCCACTGTCCCATGTCCCTCGCCCCTCCTGTGCCAGGCTCTGGAACTGGGCCTGAGATTGCCTCCCAACCCCCTCACTCTAGGTGTGCAGCCTTCCCTTCTCCAACTTCAGACCCTTCTTTTCTAAAATGGGGTGATACTGGTGCCTCTCCCAGGCGGATCTTTTGTGCTGTCAGCTAGCAAACATTTGTTGAGGCGAGGTCCTGGGCAGGTGTACAGCGAACAGTGCAGACCGAGACCCTGCCCTCCCGCCCTCCCGAAGCTCACAGTCTAGTGTTGAATGAAAGTTCTGAAGTGAGAGAACCGCCCCCACCACATGATGAACCCAGCCTGCCTAGGGATCGAACCTCCTGGATAAAGTGATTCCCGAGCCAAGATCTGGATGAGGACAGATGTTGCCATCGAGGTGGGGGTGGGTGGGAGTGGGGAACAGGCAGGTGCTCAGTAAGGATGCAGGTGATGTTGGCATGCCCCCTCCCCCCAGTCCTGTCTCAGGCCTGTGCAGGGGCAGCTCAGTGGGTGGCCCATGGACTCAACCAGGGCCCAGGCTGGGGCACCCAGGTTCACCAGCAGTACCTCATCCTGGCTGGTCTGCGGCCTTGCAGGAGAACGTCAGCTGCCTCAACACCAGCCTGGTGATCCTAATGCTGGCCCGGCGGAAAGAGCGGCTGCCTCTGTACCTGAGGCTGCTGCAGCGGATGGAGCACAGCAAGAAGTACCCCGGCTTCCTACTCAACAACTTCCACAACCTGCTGCGCTTTTGGCAGCAGCATTACCTGCACAAGGACAAGGACAGCACCTGCTTGGAGAACGTGAGTGCCCCACCCCGAGTGGGTGGTGGGTGGGCAGTGGGCACGCAGACCCAGGGCCCTTCAGAGTGGCATCCAGGGTGCGTGGTCCCTGCCTGGGCTGTGTGGCAGGTGGTTCTTTTTCCCCTTACCAAGGCCCTCCCCATGGGGTGCCAGGCTTGACCTGGGTCTTCCAGGCACCCCCAGCCCCTCCCTCTTTGCCCAGAGCTCCTGCATCAGCTTCTCATACTGGAAGGAGACGGTGTCCATCCTGTTGAACCCAGACCGCCAGTCACCCTCTGCCCTTGTTAGCTACATCGAGGAGCCCTACATGGACATAGACAGGGACTTCACCGAGGAGTGACGTTGGGCCAGGCCTCGGGAGGCCGCTGGGCTGGTGTGGGTGAGCGTGGGTACAATACTACATGCCCTGCCCTGGTCCATCCCTCCCCTGCTGCTCTCTGCCTGCCCCAGGTCTTCAGGTACAGGCTTGGTGGGAGAGAGTGTCTTGGAAGCCCTTGGTCACTGGGTTGGAGGGCCCAGGTCATGTAAGTCTCACTTCCCTCACAGTCCCCATGATAAGGGTGGGCATGGTGCCCCTGTCCTTCCTTCAGAATCCTGGGGCCCTGGCCTACCCAGAGATAAGAGGACTTTTAAAATTAGCTCTGTCTGAGCTCCTGCCCAGTCTCTTGGCTGTCAGTCCCAGGATGGGGAGGAAGATATGGGTACCCCCCCAAATCTGTGAGCCAAGCCCTCCTCTGTCCCTGGCCTTTGGACCCAGGCAAAAGCTTCTGAGCCCTGGGCAGGGGTGGGGGGTACGAGAGAATGCTGCCTTCCCCCAAGCCTGCCCCTCCCCAGGCCCCCTTATTTTCCTTTAGCTCCTCTGGTTTTGTTTGCTCATGGGGCACAGGGCCACTGTGCCTGCCCCACCCCTGGGTAGCATCTGCCTGAGCCCAGACACAAGAGCCTGGCTGGAAGCTCACCCTTGGCCCCTCGTTGTGTTGCCAATTTATTAACAGCAAATAAACCCAGGAAATGGAGACTATTAAAGAACTTTATTTTAAATGACTGCTATGGACCTGATTTTGTCCCTGAGTCTCGTGTTCAGGAGGGGGAAAGGAACACACAAAGAACGAGAAGGACACTGGCTGCAACTGTGGCATTTATTCAGCATGTGCTGAGGGCAGCAGATGGGGATAAAGAGATGACAGGATCAAGGGGGGGTAGCCTCAGCTGGAGGAATAAACAGCAAGACGTCTCTGCAGAGCCTGGGGTCTTAGGGTTCAGGCCATCACTCCTTATGCTAAGGGGAGAGGGATGGCTGAGTGAGCTGTACCCCCTGTTGCCCCACACACCCCCATACCAAGGGTAGTACCCCATCCCTCACCTTGGGGCCCAGGGCATCTCGGGTCCGTGCCCGCAGCTTGTTGGCCTGGGTCTCCGCCATGTCTGCCCGCTCCTCCGCGTCATCTAGCTCGTGCTGGGCCTTGCGATACTTGGCCAAGTTGGTGTTGGCCTGCTGTTCCTGAGGGGACACATGGGGCCTGGGTTCCTTTGGGAAGCTGAGGTGCTCATTCTGGTTCCCACCCATGCCCAGAAGGGGGCTGGTTTCTGCTCAGCTTCAACTCCACCATCCTCCCTCTTCACGGGTACCCACAGCAGGAATTTGGGACACTCCAAGAGGTACCTGTGTGCCAACCTGACCCAGCAGAGGCCAGCCCTGGCAAGAGGAAAGCATATGGGGTCTGTTCTGAGAGAGGGTGAGCAAGGTTTAGTCACTTCCTGGAGCTGTTAGAAATGTCTCTTCCCACTGGGTCACTGAGCTGCCACATTTTAGGCAGCCTGCTGCTGGGGCCTCACTTGGCCACAGACCTTGGGGCTGCAGTTGAAGCCGGGTCAGCCCCGGCGTGCGCCTGGTCCCTGGTGCCCTGACCCAGTGCACTCACCGCCTCCTCAAACTGGCGCTTGTAGCTCTTGACCTTACTCTGCAGCTTCTCCACCAGGTCCTGCATGCGAGCCAGGTTCTTCCTGTCCTCCTCAGCCTGTGCAGGCAAAGGGGCCTCAGGGCTTGCTGGGACTGGGCCAACTCTAGGGCTGCCTCCCCCCAACCCAAGGGGGACCCTGTCACCCACCTGGTATGCAAGCTCCTTGACCCGGCGCTCGTGCTTGCGCACCCCCTTGAGGGCCTCGGCATGCTTCTTCTGCTCCGCATCCAGCTCGGCCTCCAGCTCCCGCACCTGCGGACAGCGGGGGATGGGCCTGGTGCAGAGCCTGCCCTGGGCAGCCCACCCGCTGGTGGAAAGGACTGAAGGGACCGCACACACCTTAGCTTCCAGCTTCTGCACCTGCTTCTTCCCACCTCTGAGGGCAGCCTGTTCAGCCTCCTCAAGCCGGGCCTGGAGCTCCCGCACCGTCTGTTCCAGTGTCTTCTTCATCCGTTCCAGGTGTGCACTTGTATCCTGCTCCTTCTTCAGCTCCTCAGCCATCATGGCAGCCTGTGGGAGATGAGGTGGCCTGGTCAGGAGGTCACCAGCCCAGGGGAAGTCCTGGGCTCTGCCCCCGGCCCCCCCACCCCCGGCCCCGCCTCACATCGGTGATGGCCTTTTTGGCCTTCTCCTCTGCCTCCCGCCTCTCCTGGGCAGCCTCCTCCACCTCCCCACTCAGCTGGGCCAAATCCGCCTCGAGCTTCTTCTTCTGGTTCAGGAGGCCTGTGTTCTGGAGGGAAGCAGAGTCTCAGAGCTGGCCCACAGGCCTGTGACGTGCCCACCTCCGTGGACCCCCATCCCCACCTGCGAATGCAGGAGGTTGAGGCGCTCGGTGGCCTCCAACAGCTCCTGCTCCGCCAGCCTCCGGCTGCGCTCGCCCTGCTCCAGCGCAGCCCGCAGCTCCTCCAGCTCAGCAGCCAGCAGCGCAGCCCGGCGCTCCAGGGCCTGCGCCTGCTCTCGGAGCTCAGCTGCCAGCCGCTGCTCCTCATCCCGCCCCGCCTGCTCCTCCTTCAGCTGGGCCTGCAGCAGCCGTGTGGCCGCCTGGGCCTCCGTGGCCTGACGGGTAGCATGACCCAGCTGCAGCTCCAGGTCATTGAGGTCACCCTCCATCTTCTTCTTGAGCCTCAGTGCCTCGTTGCGGGCCCGGGTCTCAGCATCCAGGGAGGCCTGCAGGGACTCCACTGCCCGCTGGTGGTTGCGCCTACGGGAGGGCAGCATGAAAAGGGGGCTGTGGCCTGCGGGTGCAGGCACCATGCCTGCCCTTACAAACACCCAAGGACCATCGGAGACGAACTCATTGTGGGAACAAATGAGTCGTCCTCTCCTGGTTTAAAGCCCCTTGTGACTGCCTGTTGCCCCTCACAGCAAGTTCACGGACAAGAGCCAGACTCAGAGGCAGACAGACACACTGACTCTGGCCTCTGCCCTGCTGTGACCTTGGACAGGTCCTTTAGCTTCTCTGAGATTCAACACTAGAATGGGGACAACCCAGACCTGAGAAAGTCATGTGGGAGGACCAGACTAGATGTCTGAGCCAGCAGGAGGCGACACATGCCGCTTCCCCTTCTGCTTGCAGGAGGTGGGGATGGGAGAAGGGAGGGACACACCTCAGGTTAGCGCACTCCTCATCTTTTTCTGCCAGCTTCCGGTCCACTTCAGCCTTGACCTGGGAGAGCTCCAGCTGGATCCGCAGAGTCTTGGTCTCCTCCAGCTCCAGGGCCCCCTGGGGGTAGAGCAGGCAGTCCAGGGGTTGGGGCTGGGAACAGGTGTTCAGGAAGGGGAGGCCAGCAGGTTGGTGTCCATCCACCCCTGGGGCCAGCCCTAACCTCAGCCTCCTCCAGTGCAGCCTGGAGCTCGCTCTTCTCCCCTTCTAGTGCCTTCTTAGCTTTCTCCAGTTCCTGGATGCTCTTCCCACTGAGGCTGACCTGGTCTGTGAGGTCGCTGATTTCCTCTGAAGAATGGACAAGCCACTGAGGGGCCACCTCATGGCTCATGCTCCAACCCAGGTCACTTCACGCAAGCCCTAGTTCCAGGGTGGCCCCACTAGTGTGACTCCAAGGTGCTTGGACCCCAGAGCAACTCCCTGGCCCTGGTGTGCGGCTGGCCGTACCCTGCAGGTTCTTGTTCTCCCGCTTGAGCGTCTCCAGGGCCTCGAGCGCCTCTTCGTGGCTGTGCCGCAGCCGGAAGAGCTCAGTGCCCAGGCCACGGGCCTCCCTCTGCGCCGCCTCCAGCTCCCGCTGCATCTCCTCCTCCTGGCGCCGCCGTTCCTCCAGGGCCCGCTCCAAGTGTCGCTGCTTCTTGTCCAGCGCAGCAGCCGCTGAGGTCGCCCGCTCCAGCTCCAGGGTCACATCCTCTGACTCTGTCTGCAGCCGCAGCTTGGCCTTCTCCAGCGAGGAGCACTTGGCATTGGCGGCCTCTACGCCCTCCTCTGCTTCCTGCAGCCGCAGCGCCAGCTTCTTTCTAGGCCACGGGACCAAACAGGGTGTGGACTGTGGGGAGGGAGGGAGGCCAGCAGAGCAGCCCCAGCATCTCCCTGCACCCCCTGAAAGGGCCCAGAGGCACAGGCGATGGCCTGGCCGGCAAGGCACTCACTTGGCCTCCTCCAGCTCCTCGGTCCTCTGGATGGCGTCTGCCTCATACTTGCTCCTCCACTGAGCCACCTCGGCGTTGGCTTTGGACAGCAGCCGCTGCAGCTCAGCTTGGGCCTCCGCCTCCTCCTCGTGCTGCTCCCGCAGGAGGTCGCAGTCATGCCGCAGAGCCTGCACGGCGTGTGCCAGAGCGCTCTTGGCCTGCAGGGATACCAGTGACCTCCGCGTCGATCCTGGCCAATGGCCTTGGCGTACCCCTGCCCACCCACAGTCACAAGTGCCAGCCCACCTTGCTCTCCTCCTCCAGCTGCCGCCTCAATTCCTCCAAGCTCTGGGCAGCCAAGGCCTTCCCACGACTCAGCTGGCTGATCAGAGACTCCTTCTCTTCCAGCAGGCGGCTCAGCTCCCCTGCAGGCAAAGGGCAGGTCAGGCAGGCGAGGGCAGCACAAGGCCCCACCTGGGGTGGCCCAGCTGAGCCCCCGGCCTCACCGCTCTCAGTCTGCAGCCGCCCTCGCTGGGTGCTTGCATCCTCCAGCTGCCGCTGCAACTCCTCCACCTTGATCTTGGCCTCACTTAGCTGATCCTCATAGGCCCGGCACAGCTTCTCTGCACTGGCCTGGGATCCCAGGTCAGGAGTCAGAGGTCAAATTTGTGCATCAGAGGGCAGAATCTGGGGCTGCGAGTGAGAGACTGGGACCTGGGATGGGGAACTAGAAAGCTAGACATGGGCCCAGGAATCAGAGGAGATCAGAGCACCAAGTTCAGGGTCAGGAACTCGACTGCAGGGCTCCTGGCTTAACAGTTGAGTGTCAGAACTCGGAGGGCTGGACCAATGCCAAGGCCAGTGGGTCAGGGTAAGTGTTAGGATATAGCTGTGGAGTCATCGGGGACAATGGTCAGAGGTCAGCTGTCAGGATTAGGTGGTAAGATGGTCAGGGGTCAAAGTTGGGTGCTGGGGTTCAGGACAGGTATTAAGTCAGAGTTCAGGAGTCAGGGGCAAGGGTCACAACTACTGTTGGGTCAAGGGTCTGAGGTTAGAATTGGACGTTGGGTCAAAAATGACGAGCCAGGGACTAGGATCTAGGCGTTTAGTGCTTGAGGTCAGGACTGGCAGGGCCTGGGAGGTGGAGGCCGGATGCCAGGTTAATGGCTCAGGGCTCAGGCTCAAGGCTGGTGTGAAGTCAGTATTAGCATGAGGTAGCCAGAGGTCAAGGGTAGGGTCAGCTGCTGGAGTACGGATGGGTATGAGGTCAGAGGCGGGGTCGGGAAGGAGGCAGACACCTTGCCGCGGGCCAGAGTCTCCACGCTGGTGCCCAGGTCATCCACCTCCATGCGAAGCTCGCTCTTTTCCTTCTCCAGCTTCTGCCGCACCCGCTGCAGGCTGTCCACCTGTTCCCCCAGCTCGGCCGCGCTCTCCGCCTGCTTGCGCCGCAGGGTCGCCACGGTGGCCTCATGCCGCAGTGCGGCCTCCTCCAGCTCCCGCCGCAGCCGCCCCAGCTCGGCCTCGCGCTTGCGGCTGCCCTCGCGCTGCCCGGCTGACGCGCCGCCCGCCTCCTCCAGCCGCTCGCTCAGCTCCTCCAACTCTCGGGCTGCCTCCGCCCGCTGCTTCTCCACGCGGGCCCGGGCTGCCCGCTCCGCCTCCAGCTCCTCTTCCAGCTCCTCGGCCCGCGCCTGAGGTGGCCAGGTGGGCGGCTGTCACTTCTGTGGGCCCTGACCCCAGACCTCGCCCACTGACCCCACGCACCTGCAGCTCTTTGATCTTCTTCTGCAGCTGGGTGCCCAGGAGCTGCTCATCTTCCACCCGCAGGCTCAGCTGACTGAGCTCAGAGTCCTTCCTGGGAGCCACAGGGTGGGTGAGCCAGCCCAGGCCCCAGGTGACGCCCCACCAGTCCTCAGCACCCACCCCTGAGGTCCTAAGTGACTTCACCCCACACACCTGCTGCCCCGGTGCTGTTACCCTGAGCCTCGGACGCTGGCTGGAGCCCTCGGTCCAGGGAGGGGGCAGAACACTACCCCTGAACCCTGGTGACCCCCACCTCTCAACCCCACACTTAACCTCCACAGTGATGCAGGACCTATTCGAATCCAGGGGGCAATGAGCACCCGGGTGCAGGCTCAGGGGGCCCCTGCCAGCCAGGAGGCCACGGTGCTGCCTCCCCCACCACACCTACTTCTTGAGCTTCTCCTCCAGCTGCTGCTTGTCCTGGGCAGCGTCGGTCACCGACTCCTGCGTCAGCTTCAGGTCACCCTCAAGCTTGCGCTTAGCCCGCTCTGTGTCCATGCGCAGCTTCTTCTCCTGCTCTAGCGAGCACTCCAGCTGAGGGGCAGGGCAGGGCTCAGCCACAGCCCGGGCCGCCAGCACCCTGCCCCCGCCACCCGGCCCCTGGTGTGGCCCTTACATCCTCCACCTGCTGCTCCAGCCGGATCTTGGCCTTGGTCAGTGCACTCACACGGTCCTCCTCGGCCTGCAGGTCGCCCAGGGCCTGCTGGTGGGCCTCCTGCAACGCCTTCTTCTCCTTGGTCAGCCGGGCCACCGACTCGTCCAGCACAGCCATCTCTTCCGTCAGGTTCTTCACCTGTGCCAGGGCCAAAGTTACATGGGGACAGTCCTCCCCGCACTCTGGTCTGAGCAGATGCCCTTCCAGCGATGGAACTCAGGCAGGCCACTGCACTCCGAGCTCCTATTGCTTCACGCCTAAGGGCTGACACGCTTCTCCTTGAGCCGCACTGAGGTTTAAGGAGCGAATGCTCTCTGAGCACTCAGCACGGCACCTGGCCCAGATGAGAGCGAAAGCTGTCTGCTATTTGCAGCATCAACAGGTACTTGAGACAGCTGTTTCCTAGTCCCGGCTTCCACGGTGATCACCTGTGAGACCTGAATGCCACGCTTCCCACCCCAGCCTCACTTTCCCCTCCTGTGATAGAGTCAGTACTCCTCAGTGCTGGGAACACAGGGCCATCGTGCGGGCTCAAGGTCAGAAGGCACCTGGGAGGTGCAGAGCTGGGGAGACAGGCTCCTGTCCTTTGGGGGCTTGCAGTCCAGGATGGACGAGAATTGCAAGTTTGCTGAGCACCCAAGGCCCTGTAGTATGTGCTCGGTAGAGGCCAGTTACACACCCAATCCTCACCCTACTTGACAGATAAGAAAACTGAGACCCATGAGAGGAAGTGACTTGCCCAAGACTACACACCAGAGCCCAACAGAGCCCGGAGTGGGACCCACAGCTGCCTGCCCCCAAAGCCACACCTTGTTCTCAGTGGCTTGCTTCTCCTTCTCAGCCTTGGCCAGCGTCAGCTCCAGGTCATCGATGTCCTTCTTGAGCTCCGTGCACTCATCTTCTAGCTTGCGCCGGCGGGCGGCCAGGTCGGCATTCACCTCCTCCTCGTCCTCCAGCCGTTCGTTCAGCTCCTTCACCTTCCCCTCAAGCTGCACCTTGGACTTGATCAGCAAGTGGCAGCGCTCCTCAGCATCTGCCAGGTTGTCCTGCTCCTGGAGAGGACATGGGGCATGTGCCCAGTCAAGGCAGGGCCAGGGTGGCACAGGGGTAGCAGTTTTAGGACATGTGGACAGACTGAGGCCTGCGGCGGGGAGGCAGGAACGTGAGAGGCCTCGTCTCATGGCGCCTCTGGAACAGGAAGAAAGATCCAGGCAAGGCCTGAGCACCCAGGGCTGCCCGGGCCGTGGGTCTGGTTGTGGTGTTTCCTTAGGCCAGCCTGGGGTATTGGGGTGCTGGGGGCACCAGGTCACCAAGGGGAACCCCTCACTGCCCCTGACTCACTGCCTGCAGCTGCAGGGCCAGGTCATTCTTCTCCTGGGTGACGCTGACTTGTGTCTCCTCTAGCTCCTGGCGCTTGGCCTCGGCAGCAGCCAGCGCCCCTCGCAGCCCCCGCAGCTCTGCCCGCAGAGCCGCCAGCTCCTCCTCGGCCTGCGCTGAGCGCAACAGTGGCTTCATCTTAAAAAAGAGCTTCATCCACGACCAGTTCTTGACAGCATTGAAGGCGCGGATATTCCACTGGATGGTGAACAGGGCATCCCTGGGGAGGGGCAGCCCTGGGCTGTGAGCAGGCTCAGTGCTGCCCCCTGCAGGTATGGCCCCAATGTGCACCTGGGGCAGGTTAGCTCTCACAGTCTTCCCAACAGCCCTTGGGAGCAGGTCCTAATGCCTCTGCTTTATAAGTGAGATTGAGGGAGAGGCCCAGGAGCCCACAGTTCTGCTTCCAGGGCAGGACTCCTGAGCCTGAATGTCCTGGTGGCCTCTACAAGTGTCGAAGACCGCAGGAACTGCTAAGCCACCAGGCTCTGTGGTCAGTCGGCCTGGGCTCACAGGCCAGCGGGCACGCGCCAGCTGTCACTGGATCTGACTCAGCCCCCCCTCTGCTGAGTACAGATAACCACCTACCTCTCAGGACTCTTGCATATTTTAACCAAGATAGTGTGAATGAAGCATCTTGCCTGGGGCCTGGCACTTTAGAGTCTTGGAAGATGCTGTTGCCTCATTACCACTCCAGGAGCGAAGAGACAGGTACTCTTACCCCAACCAGCCGTAGGGGATAATCTGACCTCAGGGCAGCAGGGCAGGATTTGGAGAGCCTGGTCCTGTGAGCCGAGGGACAGTGGCCACACCTCCACCCTGGCCCTTCCTGCACCCACCTGCCTCCCAGCAGGTGCTGGTACTCAAGGCGCATGAGGCGGCCCCGGCTCCGGGCCTGCAGTAGCGTCAGCACCTTCGCCAGACGCTGGTCACGGAGCTCCTCCAGGACACCTACAAGCCCAGCCTTGAAGAACACCTGGGGGCCAGGGGAACAACCAAGTGTAACCCCCAACCATTGGCATGAACCCTGCCCAGTGCGATGCCCCCAACCAAGGTCAGCTCTAATTCCAGGGTACCCCGACCTTGGTGTGGCCAAACTGGTACTGGGTGGCATCGAAGTCCAGTGAGCCCAGCAGCTTCTCTGTGGCCTTCCTGCTGTCCATGAAGGTATCATCTGGGATGGCGCTGGGGTTCAGGATGCGGTATCTGGGACGGCAGGGGAGGGCTGGTGAGAGGGCTGGGGTGGGGGACGCTGGCCACGGAGAACAGGGAGGCCAACTGAGGAGGCCGGTGGGGGAGTGGCAGGGAGACCATTCCTGGGCCTCTCTAAGGCTGGAGCAGAGGTTCCAGGGGGGCACACTGAACAAGGGGCCGAGGAGGCAGCATCACATTGGTGGATTGGGCACATTCTGCTCAACAACCTTGCGGAGGGGGTCATTTAAATGTACTCGCTAAGTTTTTAAGAGGCTGTAGTTTTTATAAAAGGCATGCACTACTACTTTTATAATTTTTAGGGCAAAAAATGTAAAGAAGGGGGCATGTTATACCATAAACAAACTGTAATAAAGAGCAAGTGTCCCCAGCACGTGCCATGCACAGGGCCACGTGATCAGATGGGCTGTGGCCACACCGTGAAGGCAAAACCTTGGAAACACGAAAGGCCGCACACTAGGGGGACCCATTAACCAAACGTGGTTCACTAGACTATGAGATGCTTCACAGCCATAAAACACAGATGGCCGTTGATAAGGACAATCTCCAAGACAGACTGTTACATTAAAAAACAAATAGCACCATGTGTTTGTGTCCCTGTGCACAGTATTTGTAGGGATGTCCATTTACAAAGCATACAGTTACTTCTGGAAGGGAAAGGAACTATGTTGCCCTTGCAGCCTGACAGAAGGAGGGGGAGAGGGGGAGCTGACACTGCCCGGCGCTTGCTACGCGTCAGGCGTTACATGAAACCTAGTCCCGTGAGTTCTCATTCAGCTCCACATCTACATCCGACCTGCCAGATAATAAATCCAATCTCCTCCAGTTCTCTTCTAGGATATCTGCTGGAAACATTTCAGACTTGACAGGCACAAAGCAGAACTCCAACCACTCTCTCTTCACCACCCCCCCAAAATCAAAACCCTGTCTTTGTAGCTCAGTAAATTAACACCAACTCCCCAGCTGCTCAACCCCAAGCCTGGACTCACCCTTGTCTCTTTCTTTCTTATCCTGTATCCAATGCATGGTGACGCCTGATGGCTCCACCTCCAGTGTTTACCCAGTCCCCCTCCTGGGTCAGCCACCGCCATCTCTCCCTGGGATGCCTGCCCAGGCCCCTGCTTCCCCCTCGGGACTGGTCTGTCCTGCTCTGAAGTGTGTGTCCTTCCCAGCCTCAGGCTGCTGCTCCCCCTGGAGTGAAGGGAGGGGCAGGAGCCACCCACCGCTGCCGGAAGTCCGCATAGAGCAGCCTGTTGGGGAATCCCTGGCGGCAGATCCGGATCCCCTCCAGGACCCCATTGCAGCGGAGCTGGTGCAGCACCAAGAAGGCATCCATGACACCTAGACACGGAGGGGGTTAAAGGGGAAAGTCAGAGGTCAATGGACACAACTTTAGGCCCCAGAGAAAGAACACAGTCCAGACCCGGGGCCTACTTTAAGGCTGTGCAGACCCTGCGGGGTAAAGGGAGAAGACCCACGCCCTGGCCTCTCCCTGTCCCCCTCTTCTACCAGGCCAGCCCTGGGTGACTACCTGGGGTCTTGTTCTCGTTGGGGACAATGCAACGGACAAAGTGGGGCTGTGTGGCCCGCAGGTTGGTCATCAGCTTGTTGAGGTTCTCCTAGGAGTGGGGAAGAGTGGGGAGAAGGCACAGGGGCAGAGAACCAGGCTTGGATGCCGCAGTGGGTCAGGACCGTTAGGCCTGGGGAGCAGTGCTGGGTATGCCCCCCACTTTTGTTCTGTCACCCTTGCTCCATGTGACCCTCTGCCCTCTCCCATCACCACCACCAAAGTCTTCATTCCCCCACCAAATGCCCACCCCTCCCAGGGGCCTGGGGCTCCCACCCCATCTCCCCAAACCCTGCCCAGGCAGCTGAGGACGGGAAGCAGCACAGACTTGCTGTGATGTTCACGTGGAGAGGAGTTAAACATCACTGCAAGTCTTAACAGCCGCCCGCCCAGGGGACAGGGCAGGGGGTGAAGGACAGGGCTAGGGGCCCAATGGGTCCAAATGGGGCACAGACAGGGTCTCACCTTGTGCAGCTGGGACACCGTCTGGAACGACGCTGCCTTCTTACGCTTCTCTTTTACCCCAGTCTTAGGGGGCTCAGCTAGTAAAGACAAGGCACTCAGTCACTCCAGGGAATGTTTTCCTGGGTCCTTACCAAATTGGCGATCTTGTTGCTCCATACTTACTAGAACAGGAGCCTGCATAGTTCTCATAGAGGGTTGCCAAGAGCTTATTCTGTGACTTTTGGAAGATGGGGACCACTGTCTCATTCAGGGGATCCTTGTTTTTCTCCAGCCAGCCCACGATGCTGTAAGGCACCTGGCAGAGACGAGACAGGTGCTGAGCCAAGGTGGGGACACCTGGAGGAGGGAGGGAAGAGAAGGGTCGAGTGCTGGGGTTCCAACAGGTACCTACCACGCCCGCATAGTGGACCACCTCGAAGTGGGCCTGGTACTTGCGCTTCTTGTCAGGCCGAGGCTGCTGGAAATTGGGCGACTTCCCTGCATGGTTGTCATAGAGTTTGGCCCGGAAGCTTGCATCTGAGGCCTTGGGGAACATGCACTCCTCCTCCAGGATGGACAGGATGCCCAACGGCTGGGGACAGGAGACAAGCTTGAAGAGCCTCCATCAAGCCAGCCCAACCTGGCGGAGCTGCACCCCTGTTCCCAGACCACCTCTCTCTGGGAGCCTTCCCAGATCTCTCTGGACAGTCAGAGACCAGACCCACTCCCAGGCACCCTGTCTTTATAGGGAGAAAGAAAAGTTTATGGCTTGGCTTCCAACCCCCTTCTGCACGACTTGCAACACTGAGTCATCCTCTTTGCTTCTAAGAAGTGTGCAAACCCTTAAAGGATGATTATGCTGATTTTTTTAAAGAAGTATGCAAACTCAAACTGGCGTCTCTGTACTCACCCTCATCCTGGCCACATCTACAGCTCACCCATACATAAGTTTAAAAAAAAAAAGGCCACTAAGTTCACATTTTGGCCTCCTCACTGACTAGGTGTGGAACCTTCACACTTCCCTAAGCCTCAATTTCCCAACTTGCAAAATGGGAAAATGAGACCTTCAGTGCTGATATAACAGCAAAAAACTCAACCACCAACTGGCCAACAGTAGGGGATTGCAGAAATGCATTGTATGAAAATTGTCTGCTGTATGAACGATTCTTACCGCCTTGAACAACATTCGAAACACATTTTCAGAGAAAATGTAGGATGTGAAACGAGTCTGTCAATAAAAGAAAATGGATGCCCAGGATAAAAGCTTGGGAAGAAATTAACCCAAGTGCCACGATATTGGCTGTGGTAGGATTGGGGAAAACATTTTTTTCCCCTTAACTTCCAATTTTTCAAATTGTCTTTTTTCCATTCTTTGTACAATGGGTAAATATATGTAGTGTTTCACAATCCAAAAACCAAATGATAAAACCCTTTGCCCTGCTCCCCAGGCAGTTCTGAGGATCCAAGGAAACCGTGGCTGCAAACAGGGCCTTGCTGAACTGCAAAACTGTGTGCACCCAGGAGGGCTCTTGTCGACTGTGCTGTGATGCACACTCACGTTGTTCACACACACTCACCAACACTCGTTCACATTCAACTCCAACATACCTATTCAGATGCACACGTTCCCTTTCATACACATGTACATAGATCACACACACTGTCACAACTACACACACACACCAGTGCACAATCGCAAACTTACACACCCACTTGCACAGGCCTGCTCACACGCAAGCATCACTACACACACCCTCCCCTGCTCGCAATGACCTTGCCCGAGCCCCACCTTCTCGATGAGGTCGATGCAGGGCTGCAGGTCAAGGCCGAAGTCGATGAAGACCCAGTCGATGCCCTCCCGCTTGTACTCCTCCTGCTCCAGCACAAACATGTGCTGGTTGAAGAACTGCTGCAGCTTCTCGTTGGTGAAGTTGATACACAGCTGTTCAAAGCTGTTAAACTGCAAGAGGGAGGTGCCTGGCTCAGCAGGCTCCTTGCAGATGGGGAAAGGGAGGCCCACAGAGGAGCAGGGGTGTGCACAAGTTCGCCACCCCACCCTCCCCACCCCCCGCCTCCAGGCAGAAGCCCAGGGTTCCTGCCCCGCATAGGCCGGGGCCCTCCACCTTGGAGAGAACAGACCCCGAGGTCGTGGGCCTGCTCTCACCTCAAAGATCTCAAAACCAGCGATGTCCAGCACCCCGATGAAGAACTGCCGGGGCAGCTTTGTGTCCAGGGTCTGGTTGATCCGAGACACCAGCCACCTGAACAGCCGGTCATAGGTGGCCTTGGCCAGAGCCCCCACAGCAAACACCACCTGGAGGTGTAGGGAGGCTGGGCTGGGACCTGGCAAGGGGGGACCCTGCCCACTGTCCCTGGGTATGCCCTGGCCCGCAGGCAGCTCACCTGCTCCACACTCTGGCCCTTGGTCACATACTCATTCCCCACACGCACCCGGGGGTGCAAAAGGCCTTTGAGGAGATCGCCACTGCTGACCCCCATCAGATAGGCAGCCTTGTCAGCACCTGGCAGGGCACATGGGAGGATAAAGGAGGAGGACAATAATGGCCACTTGGGGGCTCTGCTGCCTCAGCCTGGGGCTGGGAGAGGGAGGTCGAGTCGGGTCAAGTTCAAGGCCAGCAAACTGTAATAGGTGCAAGAGGAAGAGGGTCTGGAGTTGAGGAGTTGGGGTCATGTAAGACTGAGGTCAAAAGTTGTGGACAAGAGTTAGGGTTAACAATCAGGGACAGGACGTGGAAATCAGGGTCAAGATGAAGGCTGGGTCAAACAAGGGCCCCTCACTCTCCGTGCCATCAGCCTCAGCCTGTTCCTCCCGCTGCTTCTGCTTGAACTTCATATTGCCGAAGTGCAGGAGGGCGCCCACGATCTTATAGCAGGCGCACTTCTCATCCACGCTGAAGCCCAGGATGTCCATGGCATGCTAGAAGGTGGGGGGACAGGACGGTGGGCTTAGAGAAGCCTGGGCTCCTCCAGCCAGGCACTGCCCCTGGACCATTCATGCAGCTGAGGGCACAACCACCCCTCACACCACAGGCCCCGCTCAGCTCCCCGCCGGCACAGCCGGCACAGCCCGTACGTCAGTGGCGATGAGCTCCTCCCCGTCGTCCATGTTATCCACGGTGATGACGCCCTGGCTGCAGAAGTGGTAGTCATAGGGGTTCATAGACAGAAGCAGCATGTCTGGGGAGAGAGGGTGGGTCAGGCTGTGCTCACCCAGCTGTTCTCCCTCTCCCATCCCAGCATGGTGGTCCTGGGGTCCCCCACCCAGGAGGAGTCTAGGGCCCTCCCAGGACTCCTCTGGAGCCTGCATTTCTCACCCCCACCTGCCGTCAGCAGCTTCTCTTTCTTTATGGTTCTCTGAGGAATGAGCCGCTGTCCCCATGTTTTGTCCCTGTGGCCCAGACCTCAGGTGCTGGGGCTCAGGGAGGACCAGGCTCAGCCCTCAAGGGGCTTGCAAGGGAGGGGAACTGGGCCCAGACAGTATTCGTCCCCCTTTGGTGCTGGCTGGGGCCTCTCTAGTCTCAAAACAGCAGGAGGGGTTCAGGTTTCTGTGAGAAACTCTACAACCTTGGCCCGGCAGCGGAGGTAAGAGGCTGGTTCTCTGCACGGAAAGGAGAGAGCTCAGCAATAACCATGAGTCCCGGGGGGAGTCAGGGACAGGAAAGAAGGGGTACCACAACCACCAGGCAGTCTTGTTGGGGTCTGACTCCCACCCCCTACACCCCTGGCCTTTACCCTGCAGCTCTGGCTTCTTCCCTGACAGGATCTGGTAGTAGACGTGGTAGCCGCGCTCACCGGGCAGCTGGAAGATCACCCGTGACTTCTCCAGAAGATCTGGAAGAAGGGGCGACACCAGCCTATCACCTCCTGCACCCCCAGAGTGGACGCTCCTACAGGAGGCAGGGGGAGGTGGCAGTGAGGGGTGGGGGGTGTGCAGGGGTGCCGTGTCTACACATGTGCCAGCGTGTGCTGGGAGGTGTCTCTCCGTTGGTGCCTGTGTCACCATGTGGGCCGTGGGTCTGTACCTCAGTGTGCGTCCTCGTGTGTGGGGTGTGGACATGGGTGTTTATGCACGTAGGTTTTGGTGTGTGTGTGAGTCTGCGTGTGCGCGTGTGGCCGAGCCTCCACACGTGTGCGGGTTGGGGTGTGAATTAAGACGTATCCTTTCCCCAGGACCACACGGCTGTGCTGACCCATCAGGATCTAGCTGTGCATCCCAAGTCGGGGCGTGATCAGCACAGGGGCCCTCTGTGCCGCAGGCCGATGACAGGTGTCAGGGAGCTTCCCAGCAGGGGCCTGAAAAGGTGCAGCACTCTGCTTCGGCCAGAGGCTGGGGCAGGGGGGTGTGGGGCAGGAGGGGTGTGGGCCAGGCCTTCCCCACCACAGGCCAGAGAGAAGACTGGGGCCTCGGGTCTGATCACAAGGAGCCTGACTGGCCAAATAAGGGTTTGGTTCTCCACCTTCAGGTGACAGGATCTAGAGAAGGTTTTTCAGCAGGGACAGGATACAGTCAGAGAAAGCATGGCTTGAAGAAGACCAAGTAGGGGAGAGGAGGCGAGAGGAGGCTGGGAGACCACACAGAGGCTGGTGTGACGTCTGGTGAGAGGTGAAGTGGCCTGAGCTGGGCAGTAATCAGGGGAGGGGGAGAAATGCCCAGAGCAGGCGGGGAGCCCAGAGGATTTGATGACAGATACTGGGTCAGAGTGGAAGGGCTTTGGCCCAGCCTCGGTCCCTCCCCACCTCCCTCGCCCACTCCCAGACTCACAGCTGTCAATGTCCGCAGATGCCAGCTTCCCAGAGGGACCAAAGTGAATGCGGATGAACTTGCCCTGAGGACAGGGGGCAGCCCTCAGCTGGGAGCCTTGGCCAGCACTGCCCTCCCTGCTGACGGCTCCCACCACCTTGTGCCCTCCCTGCTGGTGACCCTGCTCCAGCCCCAGCCACCCAGTCCCACTGTGGCCACTCACAAAACGGGAGGAGTTGTCGTTCCTCAAGGTCTTGGCATTTCCAAAAGCCTCCATGGCGGGGTTGGCCTCAATGAGTTGATCCTCGAGGGTGCCCTAGTGGTGGCAGGGGGTGAAGGGTCTGTCAGGCATGGTGCCCACTGACTGTGAGCAGAGCAGTCCATGGCCCCTCTTGTTTACAGGGAAAGGGGGGTGTCCCCAGGACCTCATAATTGTTGCTGCCCCATTTGCATGGTCCCCGCACTTACCCCAGTCTTTGTTGCCAGAAATTGCTGTGGGGAGAAGGCAGACACATTAGAGGGTGTGAAGTCTCACCAGGTTGGGGGGACAGGAGGGCAGAGGTTAGCAGGACAGTGAACGTTAGTCACCCAGAGTGTAGCCCCCACCCTAGTGCCCATGGCCTGAGCCTCCTAGAGCTGTTAGAAGGAAAACTGCCAGAAAGTGGGAGTGAGCACGGCCCTAGCCAGGGTCTTGAGGCAGGGGTGGCACCTGGGGTCTCCTACTTGAAGCCCTTCCTCTCCGCCAACCCTGTCTCTGGCCTCTCTGGTATCCCTTCATTTCCCACACTCCATGCCATGGGCCCTTGCTCCAAGCTCCAGGGGCCTCCAAATTAAAATCTACTCCTCTCAGAGCCCAGCTCAAGTGCCCACTCCTCTAGGAAGGCCTTGCTGATTCCCTGAAGCTGGAAGAGACCCTTCCCGCTCTGAGCCTTCCTGCCCTAACCGCCCTCGCTGGTAGCCTCTTACACACTTCTCCTTTGTCATATGGTTAGGTGTGTCTTCACTGTACAATTGTACACCTACTAGTATGCAAAATGGCCCTGCTGGGTGCATATTATTAGCTCTAATTTGCAAATAAGGAAACTGAGACTCCACCCAGTAAGGTGGCAGCAGCAGGGAGGCACGAGCCCCATGTCCTGCCCCCCGTGACACCTACAGCTCTCCTGTGACTCACCTAGAGGGACTTAAATTGGGCAGAGCCTCCCTCCTAGCCTACAAAGAAAGGGAGAGAAAGGAAGGAATGGATTCTGGAAAGAACAGACATGCCACCAAGAACTCTGTGATCATTCAATTGCCTCCAGAGGGCCTAAGACTTAAAAATACCCCCAGGGACATTGGGTAGAGGGAGGCAGGAGCCTCCACTGGACAGAAGGCTTCTCTCCACACACTGCTGTTCACTGCTTTTCTGCAGGGCTCTCTCTGGTCTGTTTGGCCAAATTATGGGGCCAAGGGGAGGGAGCTTGATGAAGCTTTTAAATTCCTGTATCTACAGCACCTGTAAGCAGCCTTTCCCTCCACCTCCCTTGCCTGACCCACTGCCCAGGACCCACCTGCCCAGGTGCTCCCCTGCCCCCAGCCCTTCCAGCTGGGTCCCTGCCAGCTCTGGCCTCTCCCTGCCATCTTTTCCTGTCACTGGACCAACCCAACTTTCTGCAGCATCCCCAGAGACCATTTAAGGGTTTGGAAAACAGGGTGGGAAAGGGAGGGAGGAAAAAGTACCAAAAAGTCAACAGCAAAAACAAAACAAAACAAAAACAACAACCACAACAACAACAAAAAACAAAACTGAAATAAAAATCAAAAATCAAGAAAATCAAATGGGGGAAAAGGCAAAACGCAAAAAGGAAAGAAAAAGTGAAAAAGAAAAAAAGAAAAGAAAAATGCCCCAGAATAAAGCAAGGCTCAACAGGACCAGGTTGAGGACAGTGTTGGGGGAGGCCTTGGAAAGAAAAGGCAGCCCATTTGGGAGTAGCCACAGAGCTCTGAACAGCTGGCCCTTGGGCTAGGAATGGAATGTTGTACCTCAAAATCAAAAACAAAATTAAAAAACCTGGGCCCCCATTGTTACGGACATTGCTAAACCATACAGGAATCACAGGGCATAAAATTGCCCCCTCAGCCCCAGCTGTTGAAAATTCCAGTGCCCTCCGCTCTGGCCAGTCCCTGTGTATACACACGCCTGCTCCTTCTGACTGGCAGCAGGTAACTGTGTCTTTGGTGCATGAAAACCAAGAAAACAATCACTTCTTAGTAAAAGCGGCCTATCTGGTATACTCTTTCAAACATGAAGGTCACGATGGAAGACAAAAATTACACAAAAACGTTTAGGAGTAGTGATGTGGTCCCACCCCTCCGTGTCACAGACAGAAACATCCAGGAAGGCTCAGAACAGAGTAGTTATACAGTGTCAGAGGTGGCCACAGCCTTTCTGGTCAAGCCTTGCTCAGGCCAGAGTCCCCCACCAGGGTGGGAGGCTCAGGCAGGGCTGGGGAGTAAAATTTTTAAAAAGAAAAAAAAAGGGGTGGGAGGGAAAGAAAGAAAAGAAAAACAGCGAGAAGCAGTGGGGGGCAGTGCCCGAGTGGGCAAGTCTTACGGCCTTCTTGCCCGGCCCGTCTCCCAGGGCAGCGACGATGGCAAAGTACTGAATGACCCGCTTGGTGTTAACCGTCTTACCGGCCCCCGACTCTCCGCTTGGACGACACAAACATGAGTCACCAATGCCCATCTGGCCTATTCCTCCCAGCCCCCAAAACCCTACCCCTCAAGCAGGGTCCCCCCCTTCTCCCCTTCCCCTCAACTCAGGACCTCGAACAAGAAATCAACCCTCAGAGGTCTTGAGTTGCTTACAAAGTAAGCCAGTGTGCACTGTCCCTGTGAGATAACACACGTGATGATGCCACTGTTTGCTGAGCACTAAGTGCCAGGCGCTGACCAAGTACTCCACCTCCATCAGCTCAGTTAAGCGCCAGAAACCACAATTTATGGACAATGAAATGGGGCTCAGAAGTTCTGCGACTGTCCCTGCTGTGTGCCAGGCACATATATCAACTCACCAACTCCTTATAACCCTGTGTGGTAGGTAGGGTTGTTCTGTTTTTATTGGTGAGGCTCAGAGACCCAAGGACACACATTGGGGAGTAGAAACGTGAGAACTTGAATCCAGGTCTGTCTGCATTAAAAGCCTTTGCTCTTCACTACCAGGCTGTGTACATGTACACTCTCTCTCTCTCTCTCTCTCTCTCTCTCTCTCTCTCTCTCATACACAAACATCCATATTGACTTGGCTGGACACAAACCTGGCATGTAAGAATTCTACCATTTTCCAAGGAGGCAAAGAAAAGATCAGAGGTAAGATTCACATGTAAAGAGATGTGAGGAGGAGGAAGGGGAAAGACTTAGAACCCCCAAAGGATTAAAGTGGGAGATTCCCCGCCCGAGGGGAAAGGAGGTATCGGAGCTGGTGGCCACTCTGGTGCTTAGGCATCCTGTCCCTACCCCCTACCCATCTACCTACGATTGGGGCCTGATCCAGCTTCAGCTGGGACAGTGGCTCCAGGATGTAAATAAAAGCCCTGCCCTAAGCACTTTGGATTCAACCCTGGGAAAAGACTTTGGTTCCACCCTCTTCCCACTAGGTGGCCAGCGTTTCCCACCCCACCCTGGAGCCCCTCACTCACGTGATCAGCATGGACTGGTTCTCACGGTCTGGAGGAAAGGGGAGGGAATAGAGAAGACAGCAAGTGAGGGACCAGCCACACAGGGAACACCTTGGGTGTCCATGGCCCTGGGGCAGCCCCCACCAACCAAGGCCAGAAATGGGAAGGCCGGCTCCCATGTGGACAGAATGGCTGCACTTGAGTGTCCAGCAGTGACACAAGGAGGGCAGTATCAGTGGAGGGACAGGGGTCCTTCACAGAGGCCACCCTGGAGCCGGGATAGAGGTCTCGGGTTGGGGAGAGAAGTCGCAATGGCCCTTACTGCGCAGCATGTCGTTGTAGGCATTATCCGCCACCGAATATATGTGGGGTGGGGCCTCAGAGCGGCGCTTTCCCTTGTAAGCAGCCACCACGGGGGCCGTGTAGACCGGGAGCCATTTGTAGGGGTTGATGGTGACACAGAAGAGGCCTGAGTAGGTCTGAGGATAGAGTATATCGGTTGGGTTTATTTGGGGCCCCCCAAGTACCCATACCCAGCTCCCAGTCTTCACAACAGTGACCCCTGCGATATTCCTCGAGGAGCCCCTTGATTTGCCACGCCACACCTCTGTGGCCATCCTGGCCTCGCCCCTTACTCCTGCCTCCAGCAGGTGGCCCCACCTCATAGCCCCATAGCCAAGCCTCTTGCCCTGGACCTGTAGTTGCCCTCCAGGGTCCAAAGACCATATGACCAGCCCCACGCTGGTCTCCTGCCCCCACACCATGGGCCCGCCCCCAGCTCTCTAGCCCTGACCCCACGCTGCACAGCCCGGGGCTGCCCGGCCGGGCGGCTCACGTAGATCATCCAGCGAGCATAACGCTGGCGCAGGTTGTGCAGCACGGCTGCCTCGTTGAGGTGCGTCATCATGGCCATGTCCTCCAGTAAGTCGAAGCGGGGCGGGTTCATGGGCTGCACCTCACTTTCGCGCACCGTCAGCACCTACCAGGGAAGCTGGGTCACGGAGGAAACAGGGAGGAACCTCCCAACCTCACTCTCACCCCGATTCACACACTCCCAGACCCCTTTGTCCAGGGTACGGATCCTGCAGGACAGGAGCCCCCAGGGACAGAGGAGCTAATCCCAGGAAAGGGGGAGCTGAACCTTCTGGTCTTTGGTCTCCACGGTGACTTTGCCCCCGATAGCCTCTGACTTGACCTCGGCCTCCACGTAGGCATCCTGTTCATCGGGCACCCAGACTCGCTTCTTCCCTGGTTTGCAGAGAGAGCACTGGACTTTGAAAGGGGCATAGGCACCTCCAGGGATCCGGATAGCTGGGCTTCCCAAGCCCTCTCCATAGAGCTGTGCCCCTCGTAAGGCCCTCTGCCAGGACACGGGAGTCCCAGTGACAAACCCTCTAAACTCAGCCTTCTGGAAGGGCAGAGGAGGGAGGGTCCCTAGAGATCTCAAACGACTCCCTGAATGGAGTAATGGTCTGGGTTACACACTTGGGTTCAGATCCCTACTTTAGCCATATTTGCCCTGTGGCCTCAGGAAAATCCTTCATTCTCTCTGGGCCTGTTCCCTCACATGCAAAGCATTATGGGGATCTCCTGAGGTTCAACATGGAGCAGCCCCTCAATGTCAATCAGGCACATAACTCTTGGGGAGGTCCCACTTCCCCTATTTCACTAAAGACCCAAACCCAGGCCTCCTAACTTTTTGTCCTGTGCTCTTTCCCGCCTGGCCAGCTGAGGCCAGAGTCCAGATCCCATGGTGGTTAAAAGCATGGCCTCAGCTGCAGACCACCAGGTTCTGTTCGCTGCTCTGCCAAGTGCCTCATTAGGACCATCTACATAACTTGCAGGCCTCAGAACAAAATGATAACGTGGGTACCCTTATTTTAAAAATGTATTAAAAATTTCAAAGTGGGCCGGGCGCAGTGGCTCACGCCTGTAATCCTAGCACTCTAGGAGGCCAAGGCGGGCGGATTGCTCAAGGTCAGGAGTTCGAAACCAGCTTGAGCAAGAATGAGACCCTGTCTCTACTATAAATAGAAAGAAATTAATTGGCCAACTAATATATATAGAAAAAATTAGCCGGGCATGGTGGCACATGACTGTAGTCCCGGCTACTTGGGAGGCTGAGGCAGCAGGATTGCTTGAGCCCAGGAGTTTGAGGTTGCTGTGAGCTAGGCTGATGCCACGGCACTCACTCTAGCTTGAGCAACAAAGCAAGACTCTGTCTCAAAAAAAAAAAAAAATTTCAAAGTGGCAATAGTAGAGCATTAAATCAAGTGCAACGCCCTTCTAAGCGTGGTGCCCTGTGCAACTGCAGAGGGCTGCACATCTATGAATCTAGGTCTGACCCTGGGCCCCACCTCCCCAAGCTGGTGAGCTGATGCATGGAAAGTCATCTGCTCTGGGCCTGGCACATAATAAGCATTTGATACACACTGCCTATTGTCATTATTGTCCTATGAGCAGACCAGGTCATAAATAGTACAGCCTTTGTTCCTGTCCCTAATAAACAGTGGCTTTGGTTCTGTGGAAAGCACTAAAAATAACTCCAGCACAGGTCCTGTGGACACGTGGAGGCAGCCTGCACACATGCTGATCGGTCTCATCTCAGAGGCCTCGGCTCCAGCCTGAGTCCTCACAGGCTGCAGATCCAGGAGGCAGGTGGTATTATCCCATTTAACAGAGGAACAAACCAAGGTTTGCTCACAGAACCACAGTGATATACACAGGGTCCCTGGGATTTGAGCCTCCAGTCCATGGCTAAAGCTGTAAGGCCAGAATGCCCCTTCAGTCCTGAGCTGAGTGTCACCCCTCCCCACTCCTGGTCTACGCCCAAAAGGGCTTCTGAGGCTGTGCCCCTCCCCTTCTGTCCTCACTTACCATCCCACGGGACAGTGTGCACCTTCATCAGCTCCTGGTAGCCCTGGCGGAGGTAGCAGGCAGACTCCCCAAGTTCACTCACATCCATCATGGTGGTGGCAGTGAGAGGTGGAAGAGGAGGGGCTGGAAGTCTTGGAGGTTCAAGGTTGCCCAAGGCAGCAGGCACTGGAAGATGGCAGTGATGAGGGAGCTGAGGGGCCAGGGGATCAAAACTGGGGCATGATCCTCCAACCCACAAGACCAGATACTAGGTAACTCCCCTGGACTCCCCACCTCAGCTGCCCTTGGTGAGCGCCCAGCACACACGCACACCCTCGAACCCCAGAGCATCCTCTCCTACAGGTACGGGAGACTCATGCCCACCCACTGGCACTCTCACTCACCCCCCTCCTGCCCTCCCTTCAGCTCCAACCCCAGCCCTGATTACCCACCTCAGCACCACGGTGAGGGCAGGGAGCTGTGCTACCCCTTTTATTGCCATGGTCAAGGTCAGTGGAGGAGAGCTATGTCAGCAATCTCCACGTGTCACAGCCCCCCCAGCCTGGCCACAGGACACAAAAGGCAAATTCCCTTTTATCTCCACCAGCACAGCCCCTGGGCTATTTTTACCTCCTATTGTCAGGGGATCACAAAGGCAGAGAGAGATACTCCACTGAGAGACAGGGAGGCTGGGATTCAGAGACTGACCAGGGCAGGGACAAGGCAGTGAGAGATTTGGGAAGACTGAGGAGCTCAGAGAGAGAAACTGAGTCACAGGGAGTCTGATACACACACAAAAACACCCACACCCCCAGTTACAGAGAGCAGGCAGACTCAGAGGGGGACCACAAAATGCCCTCTGGGGTCTTCTAGCTCGACCCTCTTTATACACCAGGGAAAGCAAGCCTCAGAGAAAGGGAAGCACTGGCCAAGTCTTACAGATGAGCAGTGGCAGAGATCTGGTCAAAAAGAGAAGCCAAGAGCCAAACGCACGCCTCTCCAGCACCTGGATACTCTTTTCTCCCTCCTCTATCCCCATCTCTCTGAGGGCTCCCTGGGGAGGTCATGCATGAAGAAAACCAGACCTGGGATCATAGAATAAAGGAATGATTTGGCTGAAGCAGAAGCAAATCACATAAACTTAAGCCAGTTAAGAGCCCCTCCATATTCTTTCTTTTTTTAAAGGCTGGTCAAGTGACCCCTCCATATTGTGACATTCAACATTCACAGGAAGCCGACCCCCTGCAGCCCACTCTCAACAGGGGCCCGGGGGTGCTGGCACTCAGTGTGCCTGATACAGCCTTCGGAATGTGTCAGGGGCACTTCCAGGCTCTCCTGTCCATCACCCCAGTCAGAGCTCAGTGACGCCATAGAATTTTCTTTTTAATCTTAATTTAAAATCTTTTCTCTTTTTATTTATTTTTTATTTTTTAGGCCTCAACTTACATATGTGGTTTATGACGCCGTAGAATTTTAGATGCAGAGAATGAAAGGATCCAAGAACTGAACCTTAGACACCAGACATATAGAACTAGAGTTCCAGAGCTAAGATTCCAACCAGACACCAGACCGGGCTCACACAGAGAACTCCTATGTACCAACGGACCACCAATTCCAAATATGCAGATGTACCACATAAAATATGCAGAATATATTAGAAATAACTTTAAAGATACATTTTCAACCATATACAGTTCAAAACAAGCAAAAGTAGCCTATGGTGATGTAAGTGGAAGAGTGGTCCTTTGAGGGAGGGTAATGACTGGAGGGGCACAAGAGGGCCTCTGGGGATGCCCTGGTGACGCTGAGCTGCGTGGAGGTCACACAGGTGTGTTCACTTTGTAAAATGAATCAAGCTGTGCATTTAAGATGTCTGCACCTTACTATATGTATATTACATGAAAACTTCTTTTACAATACATTGCCCAATTTGGCAATAGCTATCAGAATTGCACAATGCCTAGACTCTTTTAGGACTTAATCCTGCAGGTGTTTCTCTACGTTGTAAAACGATACAGTTCCCCTCTGGGTGGACATTTAGATTGTTTGTAGTCTTTTGACATTACAGTCAGGGCTACAGTGAATAATCTTGTACAGTCTGATGAAAGTAAACCATATCCTGTTCCAGAAACAGAAATTATGAGAAATTATCCCCCTCGGAACCTCTTTCACTCACTACCCCTCCCCCAGGGTAACACAATCTTCTAACCTCACAGGTTAGTTTTGTCTATTTTCAAGATTTAGATGAACAGAATCCTACATTATGTATTCCTTTCTTCTTTCTCTCAACATTATACTTGTGAGAAGATTCTGTTTTAATTCTTTTCCCAGAGCTAACATTGTTTCTTGCCTGCTTTCTGCTACTAGAAAGGAACTCCATGAGGGTAGGATCTTGTTCTGTATCCCCTAGCACCTTGCAAAGTGCCTGCACATAGTAAAAGGTCAGTAAATATCTATGGAGTAAGTGAATGAACCAAGCCTGATAGATAGATTATAGGGTTCTAATCTTTATACAAGGTCAGCAGCTGGAGAGCTGGGCATAGGCAATTTATAGAGAGCCCTGTGCGTGGGAAAAATTCTTTTCACTGTTCAAAGATGCTCCAAATGCAGGGCTTCTTGCCCAGGAACCACGCAACAGAGTTGGCCTAGAGAATCGGAACTTCTAACTAGCCTAACCTATCCCAAATATAATGTGGGGCCAAATTTTAGAATTACCTGCTCAGTGTATAAAACTGGGGCTAAAAAACCATCCCAAAACTCGAGTCTAGAACTGCCCTATAATGTTCACTTCCACTATCCAGGGCATATCTTCCTGCTGAGATATGTTCACAGACAAACGTGACAAAGCAAAGAGGAAGCCCAATGCTCTGAGAGATGCAAAAAATGCTATTAATACAATCCATAAAGACTTACGGTACTGACTTTAAATACCTGAAGCACTGTCCTGGAGCATAAGGAGCCTATGTGATTTGTATGGCCTCAAAAGTAGACCAATGGGCAGTGCTAGGAAGCAGAGCTTAGATGCATCCAAAGGGGGACTTTTCATCCAAAGGAGGACTCTGAGCCAATTGGCAACACAAGAGGCTGCCTTGGAAGAAAGTGAGCCTGCCAGCACCAAGGAAGACTCAAACAGATGCTGCACAGGACTTAGGCTTTGGACTGGATGACTCCTAACGTCTATTCCAACTTCAGGAGTCTAGGATTCCAGGATTTTACAATCCAGCCCAAAACATATCTGCCATCAATATACCTTATTGCGGCCGGGCGTGGTGGCTCACGCCTGTAATCCTAGCACTCTGGGAGGCCGAGGCCGAGGCGGGCGGATTGCTCAAGGTCAGGAGTTCGAAACCAGCCTGAGCAAGAGCGAGACCCCCGTCGCTACTATAAATAGAAAGAAATTAATAGGCCAACTAATATATATAGAAAAAATTAGCTAGGCATGGTGGTGCATACCTGTAGACCCAGCTACTCTCGGGAGGCTGAGGGAGAAGGATTGCTTAAGCCCAGGAGTTTGAGGTCACTGTGAGCTAGGCTGACGCCACAACACTCACTCTAGCCTGGGCAACAAAGCAAGACTCTGTCTAAAAAATATATATATATATATATACCTTATTGCCTAAAATTCCTTTTTTGGGTCAGCATCCTTCTTTGGGTAAAGACATTAAAGGACTCTGTGAAAATGCTGATACAACTAGAAAAGACACATGAATTCAGTTCAGCATGCATCTGACAGCCTCTATTCCATGTCCAGGAAAGGAAACATACTCAAGTAAGATGTCAGAATGGAGGAGTTTGAAGGATAAAAGCAAGTTTGATAGCCACACTGGCAAGAAGAGGGCATGACAACAAGGTCCCTTCCCTCATAGAGCTGCCATCCTATGGGAAGGCAAAAAATAAAGAAGTGAATACATTTCTGAGGCAAAGATTGTGGCAGGTGCTGTAAGGGAAATAAACAGAGTAATGCTGTGGAGAGTACTAGGGGTGTACTCAGGTTGGTCAGGGAGGGCCTGAAGAGGTGACATTTAAGGTGAGACCAAAGGATGAAAAGGAGCCAGCCAGGCTAGGAGCCCTTAGAAGGGTATTCCTAGTAGAAGGAACAGCAAATCCAAAAGCTGTGAGGCAGGAAATAGCTTGGGATATTTGAGGCACTGTCCCAGTGGTAGTGCAGCTGGGTGTGGTGAACAAGGGGAGAGTTTTACAAGGGGAGCTTAGACAGGTAGACAGGTAGTAGGCAAGATCACACAAAGCCTTCAAGGACTTGGAAGGGACTCTGGATTTTATTGCAAGTGCAATGGGAATCTGTCAGAGCAGGAAAGTGAGTGATCTGAAGTTTAACAGTGGCTACTCTGGCTGTCATATGAGAACGGGCAGGAAGGGGCCAGGAATGCAGCAGGGAAAGCAGTGAAGAAACTGCTGCCATCACCCAGGTAAGAGAGGATTGGCCTGGGCAGGTGGAGGCACTGAAGGTGGGGAGAGGGGACGGGCAGCATGACCTGGAACTCCAAGGCGGGAGGGATGAAGGTGGGCCACTGGGTCATAAAGGGAGGTGAGGCTGGGCTGAGCAGTTGGGACTGGACAACGAAGAGCTTCAAAAGCCAGATTAGGATTTGGGGCTTTATCCTGCAGGAGTTGGGGCACCATCAAAGGCATTTTTATTTATTTTTTCATCAAAGAGTTCTGAGCAAGGGAATTTGACAGTGTGGTCAGGTTTATGTGTGCATAAGCTCCCTGTGGCAGCTGGTGTGGAGGAAGGACTGAAGGGGCGAGACCGGTGGCAGGAAGACTTACTAGGAGGAGGCTGCCATAATGGTCCAAATGCAAGGTGGAGAGGCCCAAAGAAGGGCCCACTACTCTGGCACCCTGGGGGTGGCTGGGCCCATGCTTGTCCTAGGTTTGTTCCTCTCCTGGGGCCCTGGGCAGCTGCAGAGGGCCCAAGTGGGCCCCAGCTCTGATGTTTCAAGCAGAAAATAGGATGAGGGCAGCCAAAAGGCATCAGGGCTGTTTATCCGGAGGAGAGACGCCTCAGCATGGATTTATGGCTGAAAGGTTACTGGGGGGAGGGAGGAGGAACCAGCTGTCCGCCATCCTCACAAAGGACAAAGGAGGGGACTGTGGCCTTAGCTGCAGCAAGTGGAGGGACGTTAGACATAGTATCAGAGGATGAAAGGGCCCTTTAGTGATCATGC